CCAGCTGTGGTGTCGGCAGGTCCCTCCCTCAGGAGCCCCCGTCCCTGCTGCCGGGACCCTTGGCGAGGTGTCCCAGGAGGCCACCCTGGGAGTGACACACTCGTGGTGGGACAGAACGAATAGGGAGACCGAGCCGCATGTGGAGGGAGGCAGACGTGCACGGCTGTTGTCAGAAGCCCTGCTGGCGAAGTCCCTGAGCTCGGGGACACATGCAGCAGGGTCAGGCCACCAGGTGACTGGAAGCGACACACCGTTGCGGGGCTGGGAGGAAGGGGTGAAGACGCGGACTTTCTGTAAATCCTTGGTCGCCTTTCATGGGGAGAGCCTGGCCCGGCGCTCCTGTGCCTGGGCGGCCCCTCCATCCCGGCGGGGCCCTGGGACCAGGCCACCCGTGCCAGCTTGTGGACGCAGGGGACGTGCGCCCTCCGCGCCTCAGTCTGCCTGGCTCCCAGGCGCCGATCATGCTAGTTCCCGCCTCTCAGAGCATTAAGTGAGGGAACGGTGGTCGGGTTCTTGGGCCACAGCCTGAGCCGTGACACGTGCTCAGCAGCTACTACCTGGGTGTCCTCCGCGAGCCCCCGGAGGGGCAGACCTGGGAGGGAACCTGCCTTCGGGGACACGGAGACCGGGGTCCGCCTGGCACCTTGCACCCCCTCTATGCCCAGCCTCGGTCCTGGAGGGTCCAGCTTGTCCAGGGAGCCACATCTGCCCCATTTCTCCTGCTGGACCACACCAGCAGGGCCCGGCCCGGTTCTTTCCAAAGGCTCCTTCCTCCTCGCGGTCAGCTCCCGGAGTCCTCTCCATCCTCGGCCCTGGGACCTGTCCCCAGAAAGCCCTGCCGGGCCCCCCGGCCGAAGCCGAGCGCAAGGTCCGTGGCCGAGGCCCCGGTGTACCCCGAGGAGGCTTGCAGCCTCGCCACCTGCGCCCTCCACTGAGGCCCGCAAGCACGTCGGGTAGACCCTGAGAGCCTTCTGCGAAGTGCAATAAGGGAAAGACGAACACTGAATGATTTCACTTGTGGGATCTAGAAAAGCAGAAATCTGGGGCACCTGGGACGCGGACTTTCGCGGTTGAGCGGCTGCCTTCGGCCCAGGTCCCGGGATCTCATGAATAAAGAAGTAAAATTTTAAAAAATAAATAAAAAAGCAGAACTCCTACAGAGAGGATAGAGTGGTGGTTGCGGGGGGCTGAGGGGCAGGGAAATGAGGAGGTGCTGGCCAAAGGTAGGAACTTCCAGCCACAGAATGAGTCCGTCCTGGAGAGGCGAGGCATGGACAGTGACTGTGTTAATACCGTACTGTGCACTTGTCAGCTGCCGAGAGAGTAGACCATAAATGGGGCCGCCGCCGCCACCGCAAAATAGTAATTACATGAGGTGATGGGTGTGTTAACTAATCTTACGGTGGTAAATATTTCGCAGTGTACACATGCATCAAATCTTCATATTGTACATCTATAACTAATGATGTTTTGTTTTAAAGATTTTATTTATTCATGAGAGACGCACAGAGAGAAGCAGAGAGACAGGCAGAGGGAGAAGCAGGCTCCCCATGGCGAGCCCGAGGCAGGACTCGATCCCAAGACCCTGGGATCATGCCGAGCCAAAGGCAGATGCTCAACCACTGAGCCACCCAGGCGGCCCAAACTTCATGATGTTATATGTCAATTATATCTCAGTAAAGATGGGGGAGGAAGAAGATTCCTCATGTTCTTTTTTTTTTTTTTTTAAACAGCTTCATTGAGGTATATAATTCACAGACCATCCCATTGACTCATGGGAGGTACACAATTAGTGGCTTTGAGTATATTTCCAGAGTGGTGCATCCAAAACCACAGTAAATTTTAGGACATTTTCCTACCCTTCCTCCCAAACCCTTACTTTTTAGTGTCATCCTCCCACAGCACCTCCAAATCCTAGGAAATGACTCTCTTGTCTCTATAGGTTTGTCTATTCTGGACATTTTATAGAAATGGAATCAGTCACGTACATGGCCTTTCTTTCACTTAACACAAGGCATTCAAGTTGCATCCACGCAGTTGCATGTGTCTGTATGTCCTTCCTTTTTATGGCTGGATGATAGCCTATGGTTTGAATATACCACATTTTGTTCATCTGTCAGTTGATAGTCATGTAAGTTCTTCCTCATGTTCTTTTTTTTTTTTTTAAGATTTTATTTATTTACTTATTTGAGAGAGCGAGAGCACACAGGTGAGCCAGGGGAGGAGTGGAGGGAGAGGGAGAGGCAGAGTCCAATTGGAGTGTGGAGCCTGATGCGAGGCTTGATCTCACGGCCCTGAGATCATGACCTGAGCAGAAATCCACTGCTCAAGGCACCCAGGTGCCCCTTCTTTATGTGAACACATCAAAGCCCTGCTCTTTGAGACGACTTTTCAATTCCCAGTCACTTTTTCAGGAGGGAGGGGCCTTTTTGTTATTTTTATCACAGCCCCAAATTACTCCTTGGTTTGCTTATGCATATAGCCCCTGCTTGGACATTATATTCTGAATACCCAAAATAAAATTAAAGGTTAAAATTAGAGGTTTTAAAAGAAACTTTATGGGGTCTTTGGCTCAGGTCATGATCCCAGGGTCCTGGGATCAAGTCCCACATCGGGCTCCCCACTCAGCAGGGAGCCTGCTTCTCCCTCTCCCTCTGCCTGCTGCTCCTCCTGCCTGTGCTCTCTGTCAAATAAATAAAATCTTTAAAAAGAAAAGAAACTTTACAAGAAGTGCCTGGAGAAATGATTGAGACCATACAGTTTCACTTTTCTTCTGTGTAATTATTTATTTTTCAATTTTTACTTATTTACAAATTTATAAAAATTAAAAACTTGTACTTTTTATAAATTTATAATAATGAATTTTATCATTTACTTCTTAATTATTTATTGATCTAATCATTCGGTCCGTTTTGATAGATGTCCAAACTGGCTGAAGACAAAAATAAGGTTTTTACGTAGAGAGAGAAATATTAACGAAAACCAGAAATATGACTAAGAACCTGCCCTGCGTGGGGCAGCACCAGTGACCCTTTATTTAGCCCCGTTGTGCCAGGAGTGGACTTCCCCCAGGCCTGTTGTCTATCCATGCCCGGTGGGTGCCCACAGAGGCTGCCAAGGAGGCTGAGGTGGAACTCCTGAGTTTGTAAGCGGTTTTTGGCTTTGCTAGTGATGAGTGTGCAGTTGCGGTCAGGTGGGGGTAAATGGCACTCAGTGGGTTAAATCGCGGGCCCCAGCACCAGGATGCCGGGCCCTACAACTGTTCAGTGTTGCACCTAATGTGCTCAGGGGTGGGAGCCTCCCGTGTGCTGGTGCTGAGCAAAGGTTCTCCAGGATTTGCGGTACTGGGATTTCCGGTGCTAGATGGGGACGTCGTGTGTCCCTCCTGAGGGACTCCTGCTCAGAAACCTCAGGGGCATAGTAACCGTGCCCTCCCCTCCTGACTGCTGGGTAAAGTCACCTCTGGGATTTGATGATCTGTTTAAGGAGGAAGCGTGCACGTGGGCATGCTGTAAGGTAACAAGGGGGAGGCAAAAACATAATATGCTTAGGTTTATGAGCTGAACCACGATCACAAAAGGAACATCAAAATTTAATTACATTTAGCCTCTGTGGTATATTGGAGAGTTGCTAAGAGAGTCGTAGAGCCTAAAAGTACTCATCACAAGGGGGAAAACGTTAAACTAGGCGCGGTGACGTATGTTAACTCGACTTGTGATCTTACGCGGAACGCCTGAAACTGATGCGGTGTGACGTGTCAGTTGCGTTTCCATTTTGAAATTTCACCCCAACTAAGGGGTTCTTCGGCGCTCTCCGCCTAAATTTTTTGTGGAAATCTGAAAAAGCTTCAGAATGAGAACATCTTGGTGGTTCTTGATGCTCAGTCCCCATCTCTGAGCTTGCTGAGCTCAGGTCGTAGGTGACGCCCCCCACCCTCCAGGACGGGTGAGTATGAGAACAGATCAGAGCTGGCGCACAGCACCTGGTATCCAGTAAGTGCCCAACAGGGGTTCTAAAGTTCTCCCCTAAGTGACTTTTTTTGTTTTTGTTTTTCTTTACACTGATACCCAGGTCTGTTTGCAAGGAAACATCCTGAGTCCCTTCCCCACAGGATGGCGCCGCCGCCAGCTCCTTTGTACCCCACAAACATCTGATAGATACTTGCTGATGTTCCGATGAAACAAACCTCAGGGGCAGTTGACAGTCTTTCATACGAAGTCCATTCTCCCAAAGGGGTTCGGAAACTTTCGCAGTGATTAGTGGTGTTCATTTCCGTCCTACCGTGTGAGGGCTGGGGCCATAGCCTGAAGAGACAGAGTTCGATACCAGCAACCGAAAATCCTGCAGGAGTGATGTAAATCTTAAAAGGAGACAAGTTGTTTTTCCCTCCAGTGGCTTTCTTGGCAGAAAATTAAAAAGGGGGAGAAAAGGTTTCACGACTTAAGAAAACATTGTGGTGGCTGCTGATAATAACATTTCTGTGAAGCGATCCAGCTTCCAGAATGCTTTCCTGTTATTATTTCGTGGAACCCTCACAGGCCCCAGAGGCGGGTCAAGGCCTAAGCACCACGGGGGGCTGAGCCAGGGCGGCCTGTGTCGTGCACCTGCCACGCGGCTTCCCAGCCTTAGTCAAGCGCTCTCAGCTGATTTTTCTTAAGTTTTCAGAGGGAGTCTCCTAATCTAGCGTGGAGGCGGCCGTGGTACCTTCCCTTTCAGATTGGTCGCCGTGCAGATGATGTGAGATGATGCAGGGCACGGCCGGCCACGTGGTATGGGCACGGCGAAGGGTGACCGCTCGGCGTTGGTTATTAGGCGCGATGACCCTACGTCACCGATGACGACGGAGACTCACCATCGGCGCCACCAGCAGGGCTGCCAGGCCAGGCTGAGGCCTCCTCCTGCGGCTCCTGCCAGTGGATGCCCCCCCCATCCCCTGGCGACAAGTGTGTCCCCCCTCCCTGCTGCACTCATCTTTTCACTGTTTCCTCCTCTGTTCGCAGAACATCATCAAAAAGGTGATTGGACAGAAGTTTGTGTACAAGTTTGTCTCTTTCCCGGAGATCCTGAAAATGGACCCCCACGCGATGGAGATCAGCCGGGAGAGCCTTCTGCTGCAGGACAGCGACTGCAAGGCGTCCCCCGAGGGCCGGGAGGCCCCCAGACATGGGCTGTCAGCCCTCAAGAGCACAAGCCGCAACGAATACATCCACTCAGGCCTGTACTCGTCCTTCACCATTAATTCCCTGCAGAACCCACCTGAATCCTTCAAGGCCATCAAGACGGAAAAGCTGGAGGAGCCGCCGGAAGACAGCCCTCCCGTGGAAGAAGTGAGGACTGTCATCAGGTTTGTGACCAATAAAACCGACAAGCACAGCAGCAGGCCCGTGGTGCCCCTGCCCTCCACCTCGGAGGCCTTCCTGGCCTCGCCGGCCTCAGCCAAGGTCTCCTCCTTAATGTTGCCAAATGCCGCCAGCATTTCGTCCACCTCGCCCTCCTCGTCTCGGTCCCCGTCCCTGTCCCCCAGCTCGCCCCTCCCTGCTGAACACAGAAGCCTCTTCCTGGAGGCCGCCTGCCATGACTCCGATTCCCTAGAGCCCTTGAACCTGTCATCGGGCTCCAAGACCAGGTCTCCATCTCTTCCCCAAAGGCCAAAAAACCTAAAGGCTTGGAAATCTCTGCACCCCCGCTGGTGCTGTCCGGCACCGACATCGGCTCTATCGCCCTCAACAGCCCAGCTCTCCCCTCGGGATCCCTCACCCCAGCCTTCTTCACCGCACAGGTAAGAGCCGGCCCTGCACGGGGGAGGCACCCTGACTCGGTGGCAGAGCAGAAAGGCAGGAAAGAGCACGCAAAGCCACCTCCTCTGTCCTACAGAAGGTCATCTCAGGGCCCGTAGGCCAAAGTCACAGTGTGACTGTGAAGGGAAATTACTTTTCCATCCCCAGACCAGGGCGTCCACAGGAGAAAAGGTTCGGGGTAGTGGCTACGGTGCAACGCCTCACTGGTTTCCTGCTTCTAGTGGCTGAAAGCCACCATGCGCCCTGGCCATCAAAGCAGGTGCAAACAGTAGTTTCCCAGGGAAGGTCGAGCAGGCCAAGTGACATTTCATGAAGGCATTTGGGCTTTAGGACTGATTTATTTATTTATTTATTTATTTATTTATTTATTTATTTATTTATTTATTTTAGAGGGGGTGAGAGAGGGAGATGGAGGGGCAGAGAGATAATCTTAAGCAGGCTTCACGCCGAGCGCTGAGCCTGACGTGCGGCTCCATCTCACGACCCTGAGCTGAGATCAAGATGCTGACACTTGACCAACCCAGCTGCCCAGGCGTCCCTGGGCTCAAGGGAATTTTTATGACGGGGTCCTCTCTGGGGGCACTTGAGGAGTGGCCCTTTGCTTCTGCTAAGGAGGTCGAGGTTGATCCTGCCACTGCCGCCGTCGGCGTGGGTCTGCGCTGCCCTGCAGTCTCCGGCAAGAAGCGGAAGGCTCCCCCCGGGCTCCCCAGGAAGAGCGGCGCTACCCTGAGAAAACCCGGGTCCCTGTACGGAGAGGAGAGCAGGCTGGCCCGCGGGATTAGAAGTTCTCCAGGGTTACGAGCGCCCACGAGAAGGCGGCCTTTCCCTCCAAAGGCGATGGGAAGCCGCTGCTCCGGGGCGGGCGCTGGCGGGCCGACTCCCGTCCCTGCGGGTGGTGGCTCGGGCCGCGGCCCGGGGCGTGTGGCCGTGGATGCTCGTCCTCGGAGCCGCTGCCCTGCGCTGTTAACGTCGCGGGGTGATGCTGGGGCCGAGAGGCGGGGGCTCCTGAGGGGCCGCGGCGTCGTAGGGGTTCCCGCCTGCCGGTCGCTCGCGCCCCTTCCGTTACTCTTCACGCGGGCCACCAAGTCCACACGGTTATGGCCCACTGAGGTCCACGAGGCGCTGAGGCAGAGCAGCTCAGGCACACAGCTAACAGCGGGTAGAGGCAAATCTGAACCCAGCTCGTCTGTTCCAGAATCCATGCTCTTCAGTAAAATGTCATTGGCAGGAAAACACCTGGTTGTCCCTGATCGCAGCCGTCCGTGGAGTCGGCCCAACAAGCGAGGGCAGCTCTTGGCCGTTCTCCCCTCTGTGGCTGCTCCCAAACTGTGGCCCAAAGAGCCCGTGTCCATCAGGCTTGTGAGCTGGTGGTACTGAGGGTGCCGCCCCGGCCGGGAGGGCTTCGGGGCTCAGTTACCGGCCCGAATGAGCATGGAGGGGTTTCTCAGGCATCTTCTGATCAAACAAAACCATCCTGTGACTGGGGGCCGCTCAAGAAGTGGCTCAGAAACAGCGGTTCCTGAAGCAGCTGAGAGAAGCAACTGGAGAAGTGGGCCAGGGTGGGCCATCTGAGGATCTCCCTCCCGCGGCCTCCTTTGTGTTTACTGGTCAGGTTTAGGGAGGCCTCAAGCCAGACTGGGGCCAACTCTGATTCCCGTGTCTGCCTTCTGGGTGCGGGTGAGCCTGTTTCACCATCTCTGAACCCATGCCAGTGCTGTGGTCTCAGGCGAGCAGCTCAGGCCGGCCCTGGGGTTTTGAACCTGCACTCGGGGAATTTCGGGTGGCTGTGCTCAGTGGGACTGAGGGTGGTATGGCTGGGCTGAGGGGAGGAGGGACCTGGACATGAGGTGGGGAGAGAGTGCGGGTATAACCTCAGGAGACCGGCCTAAAACAGAGGAGGGGAGAGCATAGGAAAGCTGGATGCTTTAATGGAGGGCTTGGGCCTTGGGCAGACCATAGAGCATGGTCCTCAGCCCTGAATGGTCCAGGGCTTCCCAAGGAGAGAGAGGCTAAGGGTTAAAATCGATGATTTTATTTGAATTTGGCCAGCTCCAGAAGCCTCCAGAGATAGTTGTCTTTTGTTTGAGGATTTGTTTCTAACCCCAAAACAGCACTGTCATGGGTTCTGTTGGCGTCCACGAGAGACTGAGATTTGTGATGTCTGTTGGTACAACAAAATATTAAACTGACATCCTGATTTCCTCTCTTTTATTTTCTAAAGCCTGAGAAAGACTTAACTACTATCTCAAATTACCAAATCAATCTGCAAGTACTTCCGGTTGAGCGGCTCATGCACATCCTTTTTAGTCAGTAAATGGTTACTATGTTCATTTGTTCATTCGGGAGATAACTGTTAACCACCTCCTGTTTGCTAGTGATTGTGGGGTATACAGAGGCGGGCAAGATAGTTCCTGCTCTCATGAGCTTATAGCTTGCTGTCTGGTAGGTGAGGAATGTGGGGAATATAACTTAGGGGGGGGATGTGAAATTGCAGAGGTCCCTGAAAACTAGATAAGGAACTCAGACTTGATAGGAAACTAATAGCTTGCTGGGGTTTTAAATCAAGAAAAACAAAAATTTCTACTAATATCTTTCAACAGGTAATTATCAAGTAGTATTTACAAATCATTGCAAGAATTTCAGAAGTCTATATAGCGCCTATTTTCAAGACCGTAGGACCTAGCCAAGAAAAGGCATACAGACACCCAGGAGCACGGGGCAAGAGTCAAACACATAGTGCAGAGAAGCTCACATCAGGAAAAGAAGAGGGCAAAGATCATTTAGTTCATGAGAACTGAGCACCTATTACATGTAAGCTGCTGTGCTTGGAGCTGGGGATACGGACATGAGTTAGTCAGTCTCTGATCATTAGGAGCTCATAACTTGCCTTAAATTGTTTAATATGCTATCCCAAATCAGTACAAAAGAAATACTAAGGAGGAAGGCATTAATTTTGCTGGGGCTGGGAAAGGATGTTGAGAGGGCTTCATGGGAGGCATGTTCACACTTGGGTCGGGTGTTGACGGATCAGTAGCAGTCCATCTGGCACATAGGGTGAGCAGGGCATTGTAGCCAGAGGAGCAGCTTGAGCCAAGCCACAAAGATGTGAAATAGCTTAGTATATTAGGGGCAGGACAGTAATTCAGTGAGGGGTGGGGAGGATAAATTCCAAAGGTGAAAGGGTGGGAGATGGGGCTGAATGACATAGAGTTCTTTTAGAAATCAACCTGATGACGGAGATTGGGTTGAGGTGAGGCTGGAACCAGTCAGGATACTGTTATATTCCAGATGAAAGACAAAGAGGATCTAGATCTGAGGTGGTGGCAGTGGGAGGTGGTCCCAGGAGACAGATCTGAGAGACACAGGACCTGGTGACTGAACCAAGTGTGAAGGTGGTAGGGGAGAGCTGGGAGCTGAATATGAGGGAGGAAGAATAAGCTCCTGGTGAAAGGTTGGTTACAAGTTCATTTTGGGCCATGTCGAGTTCGAGAAGCCTGTAGGACATGAAGGAGCAAACATCCAGCTAGAGCTGTGGCTAAGGAGTTTGGGACTGGAGATAAAGTTAGGGAGTCACTAACACGGAAGCGTGCTTAAAATCATGGAAATGGATGAGATCACCTATGGAACAGATCTAGCCCAGGGAAGTATGGGCTAGGTGGTCAGGGAAGTTCTGGAATGAGTGCTAAAGAACTTGTAGGTTGGAATCCTATAGTGTTCAGGACCTAGAAGCAAAGTAGGAGGGTTCATAGAGAGAAATTAAGCAGCATATGATGTCAGGTTATCGGGGAACCTAGAATTGTGGCTAAGGAATTTTTCCCCCTGAAACTGAAAGAATTTCAAGAAACACAGTATCTTAGGGTGACTGATTTGGTGGTGGTGCTCAGAACAGATTGGAAGAGAGACCAGAGGTATGTGGGCTGGTTTAGGTGGCATTTATTGAATGCCATTTCTAAGGTGTTAGGGCCGTGAATGCAGCAGGAATGGAAAGAGAGGGGGGCATAAGAGAGTCGGTTCCAAGAAGGATCCACAGGCCGTGTCCAGAGGTGGTAGCAAGTGGGAAGGCATTCTGCATCTCAGGGACTAGGATGCTGGGTTGGAGACAGGGCTGTGAGTCCAGGGATCATGTCTTGTTTGATCATTGTATTTCTGGCACCTGATACCATGCACTCAGCCAGTATTTCTCGAGTGGAAAAACAGGTGGTATTGTTGATAGAAATGGAGGAATCGTAAGAAACCCTAGATTTGGAAAGAAAGGGAGAAGTTCCAGTTTGAACATGTGGGGCATTCCAAGTGGACACGTCCAACAGGTGGCATGTGAGGGAATGTACCTAGAACCCCAGCTTGCTTCAACTCATCACGTATTTAGAAACTTGATACTGTAGGAGGAATAAAGATGAGCAAGGTACCTTAAAGGTGACAGAAAGAGGTATAATAAGAATATGCAAAGTACCATGCTAGGAGGCAGAAAATGTGAAGGAAGAAAGTGGTTATAAAGTGTTATAAAGATTCAGGAAGAGGAGAAATGTCATATTTTGAAAGAAAAGCAGAGGAGTCTCCTTTGGGAGGTCAAGTTTTGATGGGCAGAGGTAGGCAGAGGAGGGAGGAGGAGGGGGTCTGAGGGCCTGGCCGAGGCAGAGGGCCATGAACCAGGGCACTCGGAGGGGCATGTCTGGGCAATGCCAGCTCACCAGGTTTAGCTCAAACAGGCAGCTTTGTAGGCGACTCTGTATTGTGTGGAAGATCTGAGTTGAAAGGGATGAAATGAGATCCTGGTCGGAAGGTCTTTCCCCTTGAACATCACTGTCCTTTGCCTCGGGTCCTAGGGCATCTCCTTTCCCTGCAGCTGATGATCAGGAACTCCCGGTCTGCCGTTCAAAATGGCCCATTTGCTAAAATATTTTTTGGTGAAGGCAGAGGAAGCATGCATTTTGCTTGTGGCTTCTTTCTTTAGCCTCCAGCCCTTAGGCTCAGCCCCCCTTGCCTGACTCTAGGAGCTTGCGGAAAGAGGCCCTGAAAACACACTTTACTGCGGACTACCCAGGGTGGGCATGAATAGGGACATTCCTTAACAGAGCAACCAAATAGTTTTCTTTACAGCCACAGGATCTTCAGGGAGAACAGAGACGGGAGGGAGGAGAGCGAATGAAATCACTTCACAGTATTTATTTGCATATATTATAAAAGATATTCCAAATGTATTAAACATGCAAAACAGAGGACTACTGTATTCTGAGTACATCCTGTATCCCTTAGAAACAGATGTGCAAACATCTCACATCCAGACCTGGGTACATATTTTAGACTAAAATAAAAATTCTACACTTCATGTATTGCTCACAGGATGAAAAAGGAGGGGATGTTTATTTATGGCCATGAATAAGAGAAAGATGTTTTGTAGTCTAGAAGACTTAGGTCTCTTTTTTTTTTTTTTAAGACTTAGGTCTCTTAAGAGCTTTGGGACCTCCCCGTTGGCAGGTAAAGTGGGAGACCCTGAGCACCGTGGTTTTTGAATGTTAATGTGGCGTGCTGTGGTTAGAATCTGATTCTGGAGTAATGTGCAAACACGGTAGTTCTCTCATGACCTGGGCTTGTGGACTTGACCTAATATGAATGAGAGGAGCTTTGACGGTACCGGCTGACCTGACTGGTCTCAAAATGCTGAGTACTTCTGGGTTAGACACTGAGGATTTCTCCCATGAACACAGGAGATTCACTAAGGAGGCCGGGTACACTTGAACATTTCTGGAGCATTTGCTCTGTGCCGGACACGTATGAAGAGCTTATTTCATCTTTCCCATTTTATAGCTTTGGAAACTGAGGGATAGAGAGGTCACGCAGGTCAGGAGTGGTGGTTGTGAGATCGGAACCCTGACAGAGCCCGTGCTGAACCATTAGGTCGTAGTCATCAGCCCAGATGGCCCGGTATCTTTGTGAAACTGCCTTGGATTAGAAGTGGGAAGCTTATCCCAAACATGTATTTATCCTAGTAACCTCATAGGTCATTTCATGTGTAGGAAATGCTGTGGAACCAACGACTCAAATGACTTGGTATAAATCAGTTTACCTTTCAGCACCTTCACAGTTTGAGAACCTTTGGATGTTTGTCTCCTTTTCGCTGAACAGAGCAGACCTTTCAACTTAGGTTTATGCCAAGAGTTCTTGATAATTAACGAAGCTGCTGAGGCCAATTCTAGGAAAAAATAACACTTCAGCATCCAGCGTGATGCAATCTGCAATGCTGGCGCCTGTGCTGTGGTTCTTCTTACACAAAGCACCTTATTGACATCACAAAACCACTGAGGGGGCTTCTAGTCAGCAAAGGTGCAAAACCACCATGGGCCAGGGAGTTTGCCTCAGCTGAGAATAAAAGCCATGCAGACATACCAGCTGGAGCAAGTTGTTTCTTCTGTGCTCTAGCTAGCTTGCAGGCCAGGACCCCTGCTGTGTGTGTGCAAGCAAAGGCAGTCCTTGGCGCTCTCCTGGGAAACCCCACAGTTTTGGCTTTACACGCAATCTAACAAAGAATTTTTTCCTCTTCCAAATCATTGCCAGGGAGATGAATTCTCATCAGCCCCACATCCGGAGTGCAATCTGGAAAACCCAGTTCAGAACTTTTGAAGAAGCTGCTAACAGGGTATTTTAACAACAGATCCTAAAATCTTAAAGGGCCATTGATACCCACAAAAGTGAAGCTTGAGAGGCCCTTTTAAAAATGTATTTGTAATGGATGTCCACTGTAGGAAAATATAGATTAAAAAAATTAATAAAGCCCCTTCATGGAATCTCATTTTGTATACACTAGATCTTGTTTAATGTGGGAAGGGAAACAAATTGAAGAAACCATCTGGACAAAAGTTGCTCTGAACTTGAGTCTTATAACTAGACTATTTAGGGAAGGTAACTCGTCCATACTCTTCTCCTTTATGAAATTGCTAATACAATAGCACTGAAGAAAATTCAACTGTGTGCAGCCTTGCAGAAATAACGTTGTCAGATTTTCCTAAAACGGGAAGGCTTGTTTCTTGGTTCATGGCTAGTGCCTGGCCACATTGCTGATCAGGGCCAGAGTCAGGTGACACCTTTATCACAATCTGTGTGTGTGCTTTCTTTCCCAGACACCAAATGGATTGCTCCTGACCCCGAGTCCACTGCTGTCCAGCATACATTTCTGGAGCAGCCTTAGTCCCGTTGCTCCACTGAGTCCTGCCCGGTTGCAAGGGCCAAACACGCTGTTCCAGGTGAGCATTTAGAAATCAACGTTTAAACATCAAGCTTCTAAGGGATGTTTCCCCAGTAAATCCTGCAAAGGTAACAAGAGTTCTGCCCTACGTTTGGTTAAAATGGTAAGCTTCCAAAGGGAGTGCATGAGGCTGCAAAAGCCAGCCTTCAACAGCAGACATTTTCACTGAGGCAGAGGTGGCACATCATGTCAGATATCCACAAATAGAACAATTAATTCTTGAAGTATTTGGGTATTTTCATGGACTATGAAAACTGGAAATTTATTAAGGAAAAGGGACTTTAAAAGAATTAAGCCACATACTGACATCACTTGAAATAGACTGAAAAACAGTAAGGCATGTCTCCACGCTGTTAACAGAAAAGCTATCTGTATAATCCCGTGAACCATAATCAAGTTTTCCTTGTTCCATCGTAAGAAAGGAGCATTTGGTTAAAAACTAAGTCTTAGCTGTTTTATCTTGCACAAGTCCCGTTACTAGGTAGACACACTTATTATTCATTCATACACTAGAATCTTGCGATAGCACTGCCTGCGATCATGTGGTAATCAGTATTTCCTCCTTGAGACTCTAAGACTGTTCTTCACAAAGAGATTACTAAGAGAAGAATAGAAACGGTCCTAGGGACAGGGGTGAAGCAAAGCTGGGGTAAGTGAAAACCCCCTCAAACTCTAGCCTGCCCCCCAGTGCGGCTCACCCAAGCTAGTTGTAGTTCTTTTGCTCCTGTTGCATCTAGCACTGACCACTCTGTGTTATGATTGCCTGTTCACCTGGCAATCTCCCCCACTAGACTGTGGGCCCCCAAGGGGCCAGAACTGCATCTTGTTTATTATGGTGCCCTCCCCACCCCATGTCTGGCATATTGTGTGGCACACAAATGATGCTTAGTAGTTACCACTGAGCAGATACCTAAGAATTCACCAAGAAATTGGGACACCAGGCCGGCTCAGTTTGTAAAGCATGGGATTCTTGATCACAGGGTCAGGAGTTTGAGCCCCACATTTGGTATAAGGGTTAAAGAGAGTAAGAAATGTCTGACTTAAGTGTTAAAAAGATCAGGTATCTGTGTTTTTGAGTTGGTCATTTTGTTTGTCCTCCCTGCCAGGAGCTATACATGCTGGGATTTAGGGTCTCGGAAGAAGGGTGGAGCTAAAGAGGTTTTGATTGCTACCTTGCTTCTCTGGTTTCCTAGTAAGGTTGAGGTAGGATATGACTGTACGTCTCTAGGTAATCAGGTTTCTCTCCTGGCCTATCATCACAAGAAAACTGAGCTATGGTCAAACACAGCCAACATGTGGATTCTTAGCCCTCTGAACTCAAGCAGGGAAACAAACTAGAACCAGTGAACAAATGTAGTACTGGGAAAGTTCTAGATTAGTAGTGTTTTGGTGGAGAGCTGAAAGACCTTATTTCCTCCAGGTATTCAGATTGGAGCAGCAGTACTTCGGCATCAGAGCTGCTGAGTAGAGCATGTGTAGGGTAAGCTCTATGGACACAGGGACTGCAATAGTACTCTGGTCCTAGACTCTAGCAAGGCCTCTGTAGGGTTCTCTGGGTATTTGTCAGTAATGAATGGATTCTCACTGCCCCTCTTACTGGGAATTCTTCCACTGACTGGTCAGGCCTTGGGGATCTCCAGGGAAGCCATGGAGGGAACTGTTGTTAGGGAGTTCTTTGGGATCCCTTGCCCTAGATGCTAAGCCTCTTCCAGCCCATCACTTCTAGCAGTAGCAGTGGCTGGTGAACATAGCATTTCCACACATTTGCAGGCTATTCGGAGCTCTGGGTGTTGGATCCACGTACCCCTTTCTCTTCAGTCACTGTTGTAGACTAGTGGCTCTTGAAGATTAATGTGCAACAGAATCAGCTTGGGTGGTATGTTTAAAAAGATTTTGCTGGGCCCCAACCCCAGAGTTTCTGATTTAGAAGGTAGGTGTGGGACGTGGCCTGATTATGACATCTTTTCAAGATCCTAGTGATGCTGCTGCTCCAGGAATCCACTATGAGAACCATAGCAGACCAATGGTTCCTAATTTATAACTGGAATTCTGCAGAAGAAATTGCTGCATTTTTTAATTTCACAAAATGTACCGATTACCAGAGCCATTCAAAAACCATAAATGGGAGGTAGGAATGGGGAATACAATCATGTTTAGATCGTTGGCAGGGCCTTCTGCCCTCTTTATGTGACTGGGTCCATAAAACTAAAGAAAAACTTTGTACTTTTAAGACTATTACTCTTCCTATAAGAGTAGTTGTGAAAGAACTTGAAATTAGCAGTTTTTTAAAACATAGTAAGAGGAACATTTGAAATTCAGATTATCAGCAGTGCCCCTTTTATAAACTATTAATTTTATTCAAAAATAAACCTTTCATATATACTGTATATGTATTGGAGGACGAAAAGAAGTACACTTGGGCTACAATAAGTGTTAAATGATGTTTGGCAAATTTCCTGTTTTAAGGTAAGGAAAGAAAAGGTATTGGCCTTTCTGGAAGAGGTATATTTAAAAATGAGATTGGTCTGAACAATTTGGCATTTTGAGCTTATCTACAAGATGTCTGTTCCATTTTTGAAACCAATTTTGATGAAATTTGGCATCAGTACAGATATCATCTTGAAACAAGGCAGAATTAAGTCTTCAATTGAAAATGTTTTCTGGGTGTTGTAGTTCGAATCTAACCCAGAAAATATTTGCAGTGCTGTTACCAGGGATTGTAGGGAAATATACAATATGGAACTAATTGATCTATAAGCAAAACATTATAGGAACCCAATAGGGTATAGTTTTCTAGCTGGGGACTAGATGAAGGCTCCAGGGAAGAACTGGCACCTGAGCTGAGACAATAAGACAGGATTTTGGCAGAGAGAAAAGCACCTTCTAGATAATGTACATGATTTGGATATGCAGGTACACAGTCTGTTCAGGAAGGGACTGGGTGATTAGAAAAGCACCTGTGAGCCTTGAATAGTATGTCCACCGTATTCTCTTAATTGATAACCATGGAAAACTTTCTTAGCTGGAGATAAATAGTATAATAATATCTGTTTTGGTTTTTGTTTTAAAGATTTTTGAGAAAGAGAAGATAAGGGAGGTGATGGACGGGGGAAGGTAGAGGGAGAGAAGCAGGCTCCTGTGCCAGCAGGGAGGCTGACCCAGGGCTTGATCCCAGGACTCTGAGATCACGACCTGAGCAGAAGGCAGATGCTTAATCAACTGAGCCACCCAGGCACCCCTAAAATCTCTATTTTAGGAAGATATTGTTGATCCCAGTGTGGAAGAAGGACTGAAGAGAAAGGAGGAAGTGTAGGGTGCAGAAGATATGAGGAATATTTATACTACTGCGAATACTGAGGGGAAAATCATCTTCTAGAATAGTAGAAATAGGAATATATTTAAAAGACATTCCAGAGGTAAAATTGAGACTTTAGTTTGATTTGAGGAGATTAGGAAGAGGCAAAAGACTTATGTGATTAAAAGATTGAACAATGTCTAGAATACATTAGCTCTCACTCATAGCATTTCCAAAGCACTTTTCATGGCTTCTCAAATACAGCTGATCCTTGAACAATATGGAGGTAGTTGACTACACCCCTTACAGTTGAAAACCCATGTTTAACTTCTGACTCTTCAAAGCCTTAATTACTAGTATCAGAAAGATTTCTGGTCAATATTAGGCTAACAGGGACGCCTGGGTGGCTCCACGGTTGAGCGTCTGCCTTTGGCTCAGGGCATGATCCCAGAGTCCCAGGATCGAGTGCCATATGGGGTTCCTTGCATGCAGCCTGCTTCTCCCTCTGCCTCTCTCTCTGTCTCTCATGAATAAATAAATAAAATCTTTTAAAAAAAATAAAAGATAAGGAAACTAAGGCTCAGAGATGTTGCTCAATTTACCCCAGACCACACGACATTAAGTGGCAGAGCCCTGATTCAAGTTTAGGGTCATATACCTATCACCACTCTCACTGACTTAAGAGTGAACATGGAATAACAGGTTTTTGGTGAAGATGCATTGATGGGGATTTCTGACATGCAGGATAGGATTGCTGAGGCCAATATAGGAGAAAGGAAGCTGGGAACAGAAGTTTGGGAGGAATGTTGCAACTGAAACAATTGGACGTGGGGAGTCAATAAAGATGAAACATGCCAGAAAAGCCAAAGACAAACTACAACTGCTTGTATAGAAATAAAGAGCAGAGGGCAGACATCAAGAATATACTTTTTAAAAACAGTAGTATTAACAAAATCTAAAGGTGATTCTTTTGAAAACACCAATAAGATGGACAAAAAAACAAAAAGAAAAAGATTGCAAATAAGAGAATGAAAATTCAAAGCCTGTTCTTCATCCTGAGTTCACTCTTAAGTCAATGGGGATAGTAATTAGGAGCATGGATCTTAATATATTGTTAATGAACAGTATGCAAACAGATTTGATAACCCAGTTGAAACGGATAAAATTCTACAAGCAGCTAAAATTCCAAAGTGTCAGAAAAGAAACAAAAGCCTTGAATATGCCAGTGACCCTCAAAGAAACTGAAATCGTATTTAAAGAGCACACCCACAGCAAGCCCTGCCAAAAACAAGTTGGACAGTTTGGTACAAAAGCGCAGTATCTTTCAGAGTTTAAAACTTGGCTTTACTACTTACTAGTCTCTAACCAATCCAAACTTATTTGAACTCTGTTTTCTCTCCTATAAAATGGAGATGACCAAATTTACTTTACAGGCTCCTAAATACCAACTGAAATGACAACCATTGATAAACTGTAAGGCACTAGACATTAGGTTATTGAAATAGTTTGAAAATATACATTTTATATTTAATGTACTTCTAACTTGTGCTAGGCTCTATAGTTTGATATTTAGTGTTGAAATTTAATATTAACTTTTCCAGAATAAACAGAAATTTAACTAGAAGATAGCCCAGGAGATCATTTTGACACCTATCATCTAGACAACGAAAATCTAGTTGTGAATATAATATATTAAAAGGAGGCCCTTAATTATTCTTACTCAGTTGGGAGTGTAGCAGTGGTATTTCTCTTAGACCCGAGAGTTATCCTATTTATCATCTTAGTTACCAACAATATGGAAATTAACTTTACTCTGTTTTGTTACTTAAGGGTGATCTATGAAGTTTGATATTATTTATCATGTAATTAAAAAATACTTCCTCAGTTCCAAAATATATTCTTGCTTTCCAGATCTTTTTTTTTTCTTATACAGTGTACTTTTATTTATTTTTTTTATAAATTAATTTTTATTGGTGTTCAATTTACCAACATACAGAATAACACCCAGTGCTCATCCCGTCAAGTGTACCCCTCAGTGCCCGTCACCCATTCACCCCCACCCCCCGCCCTCCTCCCCCTCCACCACCCCTAGTTCATTTCCCAGAGTTAGAAGTCTTTATGTTCTGTCTCCCTTTCTGATATTTCTCACACATTTCTTCTCCCTTCCCTTATATTCCCTTTCACTATTATTCATATTCCCCAAATGAATGAGAACATACACTGTTTGTCCTTCTCCGGTTACTGTGGCCAAGTTCAAAAAGGGTGTTGCCTGAGTTCTCCTCTGGGATTTTGATGGGATCTTGTCTCACATTTAGATCTTTCATCTATTTTGAGTTTATCTTTGTGTATGGTGCAAGAGAGTGGTCCAGTTTCATTCTTCTGCATGTGGATGTCCAATTTTCCCAGCACCATTTATTGAAGAGACTGTCTTTCTTCCAGTGGATCGTCTTTCCTCCTTTATCGTATATTAGTTGACCATAAAGTTCAGGGTCCACTTCTGGGTTCTCTGTTCTGTTCCATTGATCTATATGTCTGTTTTTGTGCCAGTACCACACTGTCTTGATGAACACAGCTTTGTAGTACAACCTGAAATCTGGCATTGTGATGCCCCCAGATATGGTTTTCTTTTTTAAAATTCCCCTGGCTGTTTGGGGTCTTTTCTGATTCCACACAAATCTTAAAATAATTTGTTCTAAGTCTCTGAAGAAAGTCCATGGTATTTTGATAGGGATTGCATTATACGTGTAAATTGCCCTGGGTAACATTGACATTTTCACAATATTAATTCTGCCAATCCATGAGCATGGAATATTTTTCCATCTCTTTGTGTCTTCCTCAATTTCTTTCAGAAGTGTTCTATAGTTTTTAGGGTATATTTTGAGAACCATTTGAATGGTAAATGGTTCTCCAACCTTTTATTTTCAGGTTGTAGGTGTCCTTCTGTCTAAAATGAGTCTCTTGTAGACAGCAAATAGATGGGTCCTGCTTTTTTATCCAGTCTGAAACCCTGCGCCTTTTGATGGGGTCATTAAGCCCATTCACGTTCAGAGTTACTATTGACAGATATGAGTTTAGTGTCATCATGATATCTATTTAGTCCTTGTTTTTGTGGATTGTTCCACTGAACTTCTTCTTAAAGGGGAGTTTTAAGAGTCCCCCTTAAAATTTCTTGCAGAGCTGGTTTGGAGGTCACATATTCTTTCAGTTCCTGCCTGTCTTGGAAGCTCTTTATCTCTCCTTCCATTTTGAATGAGAGCCTTGCTGGATAAAGTATTCTTGGTTGCATGTTCTTCTCATTTAGGACCCTGAATATATCCTGCCAGCCCTTTCTGGCCTGCCAGGTCTCTGTGGAGAGGTCTGCTGTTACCCTAATATTCCTCCCCATGAAAGTCAGGGACTTCTTGTCTCTTGCTGCTTTAAGGATCTTCTCTTTATCTTTGGAATTTGCAAGCTTCACTATTAGATGTCGAGGTGTTGAACGGTTTTTATTGATTTTAGGGGGGGATCTCTCTATTTCCTGGATCTGAATGCCTGTTTCCCTTCCCAGATTGGGAAAGTTTTCAGCTAGGATTTGTTCAAATACATATTCTGGCCCTCTGGCCCTTTCGGCGCCCTCGGGAACCCCAATTAAACGTAGGTTTTTCTTCCTTAGACTGTCATTTATTTGCCTTAATCTGTTTTCATGGTCCCTTAATTGATTGTCTCTTTTTTCCTCAGTTTCCCTCTTTGCCATTAACTTGTCTTCTATGTCACTCACTCGTTCTTCCACCTCGTTAACCCTCGTCGTTAGGACTTCTAGTTTGGATTGCATCTCATTCAATTGATTTTTAATTTCTGCCTGATTGGATCTAAATTCTGCAGTCATGAAGTCTCGTGAATCCTTAATGCTTTTTTCTAGAGCCACCAGTAGCTGTATAATGGTGCTTCTGAATTGGCTTTCTGACATTGAAGTGTAATCCAGATTTTGTAACTCTGTGGGAGAGAGGGCTGTTTCTGATTCTTTCTTTTGAGGTGAGGTTTTCCTTCTAGTCATTTTGCTCAGTGCAGAGTGGCCAAAAACAAGTTGTATTGGAACACGGGGGAGTATCACTGGTCCGTCCAGCTGGTCTTCTGGGGGAGGGGCCTGCTGTGCTGATTTTCAGGTGTTAGCACTTGGGGGAGCTGCTCTGCCCCTGCCTGCTGCCGGGCTCAGCGGGGGTTGTTTACCCCGTGGGGCCCCAGGAGGATCAGCCGCAGTTGCTATGGCAACTCTGGAAGCCTGGATTTAGCCTCCGCAGGAACTACGGGGCTCGGGCTCTCGGTTCTCCGTCTACAGGGCCTGGAGGCTCCGGGGCGGGGCCGCTGATCTGCTCGGCTTGGGGCAGGAGCGTCCTTGCTGTCCTGGGCCCTCCCGGCCTCTGCCTGTCCCAGGGGGAGGCCGGATCCTGGGCTGTGTCCCGGCGCCCTGTGCTCCGGGGCCTGCGCTGTTGGATTCGCGCTCCCGCCCTGCAGCTCCCTCCCTGGAGCCGCTCCCGAGCCCTCCGAGCTGCTCCGGTCGCAGCCCTTAGGGAGCTCGGCGCACTCCCCTGCGCTCGCAGGTGTCTGTTAGTGTCCCAGGGAGCCCGAGGGCATCCCCGCTCTCCTGGGTCCTGCTCTAACTCCCTGCGAGCCCCTTTCCGCCCGCCCGGGAAGGTTGGTGCATCTCCTGCTTCTCCGGGACGGGGCTCTCCTGTCCTGGGGACACTCGCCCCGGCCTCAGCCCGGCTCCTCGCGGGGCCCCTCCCCCTCGGAGGCCTTTTGTTCCTTTATTTCTTTTTCCCCGTCTTCCTACCTTGATAGAAGCGCAGACTCTTCTCACTGTAGCCTTCCAGCTGGTCTCTCTTTACATCTCAGGCCGAATTCGTAGATTTTCAGGATGGTTTGAAGGTTATCTAGGTAATTTGGTGGGGACAGGTGATTTGGGGACCCTGCTCTTCCGCCATCTTGCCCCTCCGCTTTCCAGATCTTTTAAGGTAAAACATTCATTTTTAACAGTTACTGAGAAAGCATCTTTATAGTACTCTGGAAAAACAAGGGCCATTTTCAAAATACAGTATTAGAAATTTTACACGTGAATCAGCAGAGTCAGTTGTCTGCGGTTTTTAAAATTACTTTAAGGCAAATCAGCATCCTAAGTAGCTTGAAGCCTTTTAAAAGGAGTATTAGAACATGCTTTAGCACCATGTATACATTTTTTTTTTCTAGTGGCCTAGGCATATAAAACAGGGACATTTTCTGGGCCTTATCCCTTTTTTGCTGTATGTAATCTTGATCTCATTCTGTAAAAATAGTCCTAGCTATGCTCTGTTTCAGAATGTAAAGAACTCAAGTTTATCCCAATGGGTCTGCAATAATAATTTAAAAAAATCTTCTGTTCCCTTACAGTTTCCAACACTGCTTAACGGCCACATGCCAGTGCCAATCCCCAGTCTGGATAGAGCTGCTTCTCCAGTACTGCTTTCTTCGAACTCTCAGAAATCCTGATGACATCTGCCCACAATTAAAGACTTATTAACTGATGAAAATAAAATTTGTCCCCATGGGCTAGTTTACCTGTGTCATGAGAAGGACGTTGTGAAACCCTCTGTTAATTTGGTTTGCACTTTTCACAACATGGATGGTCTAGATTTATGTTAGCATTTTTAAAACTTTTTTTATATTCAAGTATATATGAAGATCTGTTTGGCATTAAGTGATTTTTAATGTTTTTGTTTTTATATTCTCTTATCTCTTAAGTACTGAACACTGTTGACAGTGAAGAACTTTTCTTAATGGTTTTCAGTGTAACTAATAAGGATGTGAAGCTTTATTTTCTCTAATTCCGCATATGCTGAACTATGCTTATAGACACTATAACCAGCTGTGCCTTCCTTTGCATTTAGTTTTATGTAAATGGTTTATATATTTTTTAGTATTAAGAGAAAATGTTTGAAAGACAAATTAGTATCAAACAGCTCTCTAGTAGAATCGTTATTTTTCATAAGTAGGCAATATGAAAGCATATTCATTTTTCTTTTTCGCTTTCAATTGTAAAAGAATTGCCTTAGAACCTCTTTTGAACTGAAATTCAGCAAATGTTCAATTTAATGTTTTTATAAAAGAAACTAAGCCATATCTAGAAAATAAACATTCATAAAAGAAAATGTTCTAAAGTGCATTTTTTAAAGAACGAACTTTGAAAGCCTAGCCACCAAGTAGTTTAGAATCTTTTAGGCTCCTCCCAAACAAAAACCTGAGATGGAAATCTATCACTCTACCATGCCCTTGGAATATCTCCTATGTAAGCATGTTCTTATTTCAAAAAATTACTTGTGCTTCTCTCAGTTTTCCATAATCACACCCGATACATTTCCTGTATCGTTGTAAGTTAGGGTTGCTCTAAAACCCTAGAACTCTTAACATGTAAACATCTTATGCTTTGAAGAGGCTCACAGACTGGTGATGAATGCAAGAATTTTGTAACACCAGGTAGCTTCAGGTGTATAAAGCATAGCCTTATTTGTGGAAACTGAGAGGTAGGATACACTGCTTATGTATTACTAAAGTTTATGGTGAGAATGAAGGAAATTGGATATAAGAAAATATAAAATTCTTCAGGAATCTCATTGTAGAACTGAACTAACAACCTGGAGCACTCAGCAGTAAATTCTTTTTTTTTTTTTTTCAGCAGTAAATTCTTTTGTGTAGGGTAGAGCAGTGATAACAGAAACAGCAGGTGCCACTCTAAGGCATTGTTCTGTACATGAAGCATGAAAGTTCTAATGTGAAGAGAACTGGAAAGTGCCCAGGGCTTTCAAGATCAGATTATCATCCTCAAATATAAGAGTAACAAGGCAATCTGAAATGTGGCTGAATGACTCCAAAGTAAGGGTTAAATGACAAGATTATGAAAAAGGGTAAAAAAATAAAGCTTATAAAAACATATTTCTTAAATTTTCAAAAAATCTAGGAACTGTTATCCTTAAAATCTTGAGATTTTCAATTCTGTGTATGGGGATGTATATACATCTCTAACATAATTGGAATATAAAGTAAATTATAAAATCCAGACACTACTGTCACTCCCTCATAAGCTAAGGCTAATTCTGTACTCAAAAGAGCTGGTCCAGGGAACTGATATTTACCTGACGTGAAACGTTAAAAGGTTTCACCACAGTTTCCAGATAAGGCAACTGGAAGTTGCCTAAGGCCACACAGCTCATTAAAGGTAAAACAATGATTGGTGCTTAGTCCGGTTCTGTTTCCCATACCTAGCTGTAACTTCTGGCCCAAAACTGTAAGGTAGAAAAAAACAGGTAAAGATAGAACATTAAAAAAAAAAAAAATGTAAGAGAAGAATATACCCCAAATGTAAGATTCTTACAGAGAAACCAATGCCAGTTAATCAATGTCCAAAAATCTCAACCCAAAATGTATATGATTAGAAATGCCCAAATGACTCTAAATCTGATCCTTGTATTTCCTTCCTTGAAATACATGTAATGATAGAATACATGTATGATAGAATGTATGATTAACATACATTCTAGCTGTTTATTAAAAATGGAAAAACGCCATGATTTTTATGGATCAAAAAACTTATCATGACACAAATATAGAACTGGAGATACTAAAGTATAACCCTTCTAGCTCTGCCTCATTCTCTGTGTGTTTTAACGATTATTTTAGTCAGAAAATAGGTTTCAAAGGACATATTAAATAACTTTTTTCCCTTTTTATATGTCTGCTTGATCAGTGTTAAACTGCTATGGCTAAGGTTTTATAGAACTATAACCTAAACGTTGTTTTCTTTGTACACCTCTTTTCTATGAGTGCATATCTTCATTCACTTTCATATATGTATCAATTTTACTGTTATATTATTTTTGTTCAATAAATACTTTGTGATAAAAGTGTGAGGAAGCAAGTGGGTTGGTTTACTTCCATTTACTTGGGATGATCCAAATTTTACTTCGTGTGGGTACAAGTTGGAAAATAAGTGTTGTCATCTAGCCTTAAATAGGATACATCAAAACATGCTATTGTATATAATATAATCTGCTTTAAAGAGATATTTAAGGAAACAAACAGAATTATTGAGGTTGACTTAGGAGAGGGGTTGGGGGAGAACAGGTTTGAAAAATGTCCTCTAATCTTTTAAACTTTAAGGTTTACCAATCATTCTATATTGGTGAGGAAAAAAAGAACAAATTATCATTTATTCTTTTAGCTGCAACTAATACCATAGTCAGTGGTGAAAGACTGAAAGTGTTTTGCCTTACCGTAAAGAACAAGTTGCCAATTCTACTTCAACACAGGACTGAAAGTCCTAACCAAAGTAATTAGGCAAGAAAAATAAATCTGTATTATAGAGGAAGTAAAGCTATCTTGATTCATGATGACCTGATCTTATATGTGGAAAAACTTAAAGAATCCACACACAAAAAAGAGTTAATACACGAAGTCAGCAAAATTATAGGATACAAAATCAAGACACAAAAATCATTTGTCTTTCTACACACTAGCAAATGAAAAACTAAAAAAAAAAAAATCAAAAAAATAATTCCATCTACAGTGACATCGAAAAGAATAAAATACTAAGGAATGAACTTAATCAAGGAAGCACAGGACTTACACACTGAAAAGCTACAAAACATTACTAAAAGAAATGAAAGCTATCCTGTGTTCATGGACTCACAATACTCGCAAAGTGATCTACCAATTCAATCCAATTCCTGTCACAATCCCAATGGTATATTTCCTGGGAAACAGAAAAACCCCATCCTAGAATTTATTTTTCTTTTCATTTTTTAAAAGATTTATTTATTTATTTTTGATAGACATAGAGGGAGAGAGAGAGAGAGAGAGAGAGAGAGAGAGAGGCAGAGACACAGGAGGAGGGAAAAGCAGGCTCCATGCTAGGAGCCTGACGTGGAACTCGATCCCGGGATTCCAGGATCGTGCCCTGGACCAAAGGCAGGTGCTAAACTGCTGAGCCACCCAGGGATCCCCCATCCTAAAATTTAAATGGAATTTCAAGGGACCCTGAATAGCCAAAACAATCTTGAAAAAAAGAACAAAGTTGGAGAACTCACTTCTTAATTTCAAAACCTAGAAAGCTACAAGTAACCAAAACATTGTGGTACTGGCAGAAAGACAGAGATGTAGACCAATAAAACAGAATCAAGAGCCTCCAAAATAGACTCTCACATTTATGGCCAATTAATTTAAACAAGGGTGTCAAGGCTATTTAATGGGAAGAGGGCAGTCTTTTTAACAAATAGTTCTGGGAAAACTAGACATTCCCGTGCAATGTATAGATCCTCATTTTACACCACAAAAATTAACTCAAAATGGATCAAAGTTCTACACGGAAGCAATAACAAAACTCCTAAAACAGGGCAAAATATTCATAACCTTAAATTTGGCAGCAGTTTCTTAAATATGCCACCATGAGAAGTAAAAAAAAACAAAAACCACCCACAATAAAACAAATGTCATTAAAAAGAAAAATTTTACGTATTAAAAAAAAAAAACCATCAAAAAAGTAAAAGACAACCCACAGAATGGAAAAAATAAGTGCAAGTCATATACCTCATATGAGTCTACTATCTAGAATACATAAAGAGAAGTGCCTGGGTGACACAGGTAAGCATCTGACTTGATTTCAGGTCAGGTCATGATCTCAGGTTCGTGAGATTGAGCCCCTCACTAGGCTGCATGCTCAGCAGGGAATCTACTGGGAAATTCTTAAAAAAGAAAAAAAAAAATAAACAACTATAGCTTAAATGACTTAACTCAGCAACAACTTAAAAATGGGCAAAGGACTTGAATAGACTCTTCTCTAAACAGGATAAAACAAATGGTGAATAAGCACGTGATGCTCAATATCCTACTCACTTGGTTAATACAAATCAAAAGCACAATGAGGGACGCCTGGGTGGCTCAGGGGTTGAGCACCTCCCTTCAGCTCAGGGCATGATCTTGGAGTCCCACGATAGAGTCCCAGGATCGAGTCCCACATCGGGCTCCCTGCATGGAGCCTGCTTCTCTCTCTGTGTCTCTCATGAATAAATAAAATCTTAAAACAAACAAACACAATGAGATACCATGTCATATGTATTAAAATGAATATAATTTTTTTAAAAAGAAAAATGTTGGCAAGGATGAGAAATTAGAACTCTCAGACATTATTACTGGTAATGTAAAATGGTGTAATTGCCATGGACAATCATTTGATGGTTCCTCAAAAAGGTAAACAGATTTAAAAAACCCAGCAATGCAAATCCTAGGCATATAAACTCAAAGAATTGAAAACAAGGACCCACACAGATGCTTGTACACCCATGTTCATAACAGCATTATTCACAAAAGCCAAAAAGAGGGAAAGCTAGTGTGAAATCAATGGATATTTAAACAAAATATCAAAGAGTATTATTTCAGCCATGAGAAGAAATAAAATTCTGACACATGCTACAACATGGATGAAAGCTGAAAACATCATTTTAAGTGAATGAAATAAGCCAGACACCCAAGGACAATCATGCTATGACTCTACGTATATGAAATATCTACAATAGGCAAATTCAGACACAAAAAGTACAGGCATACAAGGGGTGCCTGGCTGGCTCAGTCGGAAAGGTATGCGACTCAATCTTAGGGTTGTGATTTCAAGCCTCATGTGGGTGTAGAGATATACTTAAGTAAATATATGAAAATTTAAAAAAATTACAGGCGTACCTTGGAGATATTGCAGGTTCAGTTTCAGACCACTGCAATAAAGCAAATACCACAATGAGGCAAGTCAAGCACATTTCTTGGCTTTCTAGTGCATATAAAAATTATGCTATACTGCAGGCTATTAAGTGTGCAATAGCATTATGTCTAATAAAGTACATATTTTTGTTAAAAAATACTTTATTGTTAAAAAAATGATAACCCATCTGAGATTTAAATGTGTCATGGTCCTTTTACTGTTGGAGAGTCTTGCCTTCATGTTGATCGCTGCTGACTGAGCAGGGTGGTGGTTGCTTGTAGAAGGCTGGAGTGGCTGTGGCAATTTCTTAAAATAAGACAACAATGAAGTCTGCTGCAACAATGGAAGGGTCCTTTCATGCTGTTTGATAGCATTTACCCATAGAACTTCTTTCAAAATTGGAATACTCTTAAACCCTGATGCTTTACCAACTAAGTTTATGTGATGATATTCTAAATCCTTTGTTGTCATTTCAACAATCTTCATGGCATCTTCACCAGGAGTTGATTGCATCTCAAGAAACCACTGTTCATCCCTAAGAAGCAACTTCTCATCATTGTAAGTTTTATCATGGAAGTGCAGTAATTCAGCCACATTTTCAGGGTCCACTTCTAATTCTAGTTCCCTTGCTACATCCACCACATCTGCAGTTACTTCTTCTGCTCAAGTCTTGAAATCAGCTTCTTCCAAACTCCTGTTAATGTTGATATTCTGACCTCTTCTCATGAATCATACATGTTCTTAATGGCACCTAGAATGGTGAATCCTTTCCAAAAGGTTTTTGATTTGCTTTGCCCAGATTCATTAGAGGAATCACTACTATGGCAGCTATAGCCTTATGAGATATATTTCTTAAAGAATAAGACTTGAAAGTCAAAACTACTCCTTGATCTATGGGCTCCAGAGCAGATAATGTGTTAGTAAGAATGAAAACAAGATTAGTGTTGATTGTCCCTCTCCATCTGAGCTCCTGGGTGATCAGGTGTATTGCCAATGAACAATATTTTGAAAATCTTTTTTCTGAACAGTAAGCTTGAAATATTCAGTAAATCATACTATAAAGAGATGTGCTGTCATCCAGGTTTTGTTGTTCCATTGACAGAACACAGGGAGAGTAGATTTAGCATATTTCTTAAGGGCCTTAGGGTTTTCAGTATGGTCAATGAGCACTGGCTTCAACTTCTAGTCATCACCTGCATTAGTCTCTAATAAGAGAGTAGTAAGTCTGTTCTTTTTTTTTTAAGATTTTATTTATTTATTCATGACAGACACACACAGAGAGAGAAGCAGGCTCCATGCAGGAAGCCCAACGTGGGACTCGATCCTGGGTCTCCAGGATCATGCCCTGGGCTGAAGGCAGTGCTAAACTGCTGAGCCACCTGGGCTGCCCAGTCTGTTCTTTTTTTAAAAAAAAAATATTTATTTCAGAGAGTGTAGGAGTGGGAAGGGAGAGGCAGAGAGGGAGCCAGAGGGACAGAAGGGAGAGAAAGGAGAGGGGGAGAGGGAGAAAGGGAGAAGCAGACTCTCTGCCAACTGTGGAGCCCAACACAGGGCTCAATCCCACATCCCTGAGATCATCATAACCTGAGCCAAAAATCAAGAGTCAGGTGCTCAACCGACTGAGCCATTGAGGTAACTCAGTCAATCTTTTGAAGGTAGGCACTGACTTCTTTCTCTCGCTTTGAGATCCAGATGGCATCTTCTTCCAAGAGAAAGTTATTCTGCCAACATTAAAACTCTGTTTAAGGTAGCCATTTTCATTAATTATCTTTGCTAGATCATCTGGATAACTTACACTTTTGTTAGGCAGACATCTTTCCTTTAACCTCATGAACCAACCTCAGCTTCAAACTTTTCTTCTGCAGCTTCTTCACCTCTCTAAGCCTTCAAAGAACTGAAGAGAGATAGGGCTTTGCTCTGGATCAGATTTGGCTTAAGGGAATGTTGTGGCTGATTTGACCTTCTACCCAGACCAATAAAACTTTCTCTGTATCAGCAATAAGGTTGTTTCACTTTATCATTTATGTATTCACTAGACTGCTCCTTTGCATTCACAGCTTGGCTGATTGGAGCAAGAGGCCTAGCTTTCAGTCTATGCTAGCTTTTGACATGCCTTCCCAATTAAGCTTAAATCATTTCTAGCTTTACTTTAAACTCAG